CCTGACACACACAACTCTCGCCCGGTCCTTACTGGTACTATGTAAGTGTACGGATATGTCACGCCTCTCGTCGTCTTGAAGTGATGATGCGAGGCGCTGCATACTGCAAACTGCGCCATCCATCAGGGGTCACAACCGTCGCCCTTGGCGCGCACGCATCCAATCGACACCGACGCCGTATACCGTATCCGACAACTGGACATTGACGGCGACGACCTCCCATCCCTCGACGTGCCCGGTCCGCTGCTCTCGGCAAACACGGGACCACCCAGCTCAAAGCCAACCTGTTCCTGGAGGTGAGACGTGGGACCGGGCAACATACCTAACCAGACCTACCTCGGAGGGTCCATGTTGGGGCGCGGGAACACAGGACCTGCATAAGGATCCTGCCGCGTTGCCTCCCCGGTCCTCCAACACGAGGGGACTCGCCGTCCTCGTACAACAACTGCACTTTATCAGAAGAGGGGTTGGCTCGTGGTGGGGCGGGGGAGGGGGGCTGACGGAAAATGGGCAGCATACATGTAGGGGGTCATGGTCGCTCAAGTAGATGATATACATCCCACATATTGTATATCGGCATTGTATGGAGTACAATGGACATTCTGCTCTTCGGCCAGAGCCGGTACCATCCTTAGAAAGGTTGCATATGTCAAAGGGCAACCTAGAAACAAACATCTGTCACAAGGGACTCAAAGACTCAAAAGTTCATCATGAGAATATCCTGTTGTCTCGCATGTCGCGAGCCTTCCATTTCTTGTATTACATATACCAACAAACAGACAAAGACAATATGAACTTGTGGCCTTGTGCCTGTCAATAAGTGCCCATCACGATGAGCTCCTCACGTTCCTTTCTCCGCTAAATCTAGACCATGCCTCAACCCTGTATCACCATGCCCACAAGCAAACATCCTGGATCCCAAGATCAGCCCGTCTAAACTCCAAATGTGATATGCAATGGCTATTCGCCCCCAGGGCCCATACATCTTCCAAAAAAAAGAAAAAAGAAAGTCCGGTCCAAAATGTATTAACAATAAAGTTTTGTATTCCTCCCAGCCCACCCAAACGCCGTTGGCCATGCAGCAAATGATTCCTCCCTTTCGAGCCCGGGATGTTGTCACCAGGTGAAGCTCTCCTCGATGAAGTCGACGACTTGCCCCTCGTCCTGGACATCCCGCACCGCGGCGCGCACGTCGTCGGCCAGCCCGCCGGGTCCGCAGACCGACACGCACATGGCACCATTTTGCCCGGCAACCTCCTTGGCGAGGAGCATGGGGATGTTGGGTCGGCCTTCGTAGATCCGGTTTGTTGATTCCCTTGACGACTGGATCGGGGCTGTCGGCCGCGTGACAAACACCTTGATACGGATAATGTCCCGCCGGCCATCCATGCGGTGGATCTTATCCAACCAAGGTCGTGCCCACTCAAGGGTGTTGTACTGGCGAATGATCCAGATGAGCGTGACGCGGCGCGTGGCCACGACCCCGTCGTTGTAGCCGTTGATGAGGTGGCGGAGGAACGAGAGCTGGTGTGTGATGCCGGTGGCGCCGGCAAACAACACGCAGTGCCCGTAGCTGTCGAGGCTATGGTGTCCAGCATAAGGGCCCTCGAACGCAGCACGCATCGCGAAGACTTCAGACTTGTTCGACATTGCCTCGTCGTAAAGTCGGCGCGTGAAACCGGTCTGAGCTCCAATGAGAAAGGATACCGTGGTGCCAATGGGCTTGCTGCCAGCCGGTTCCTTGTCGTGGTGGATGGGGAGCATGGACTTGGACTTGTGGTACTGGTGCTCGAACCAGGCGATCGAGAACGGGTGGTTCTCAAATGGGCTGATGTTGGCAAAGCGAAGGTAGGCGTGCTGCCCTGGCTTGATATCAACATAGCGCGGCAGGAACATGGTGACGCGGCAAGCCTCGCCCGGCATGGGTTCCACGATGGCTTCTGTGAATCCACGCTTCGACCAGTTGCAGTAGGCCAGTCGAAACATGCGATACAGCCGCTCAGAAGCCCAAAGGCTCATGATGGCAATGATCCACGGAAGCTGTGGGAGTCCTCCAGGAACCGTCGCGGTGGCGCAGTGGATGAGAGTCCCCACAAAGGTGACCATGGCCAGAAAGATGTGGCTGTTGAGGAACGTCTCGTAAAAGGCGTGGCGCAATGGCGACACCGAGAGGAAGAGAATGAGAGCCAGGGCAAGCGTCCCGACGGTGCCCGATGTGATGAACACGTCAAATGTCAACTTGTGATGGACGCTATCCCACCCGCCGTCGGCAACCTGAACAATGGCCCAGGCCACAAAGTGGATGACCGTCTCGAAAACCACGACACGTCCCATCCATCTGTGAAGAAGGTTGTAGGTGTCGAAGCTTATCTGGAGAATGCCGATCAAGGGGTTGTTTCGGCCGGCGAAGATGATGAGCGGAACCATGCTCACCAGGGCAAGCGTCCCGGAGCGGCCTCGAAGTTCCGCACAGAGCTCGTACCTGTTCTTGTTACCCCAATTAAGGATGAACATGTAGGCCAAGTTGCTGCCCAGGTAGCCTACGAGTAGGAGGGCGTGGAAGCGTGAGGGGAGTGTACCCATGTTGATGGCCTTGGAGATCTGCATCTCCCGGTTGTGACGCTTCTTCCAGAACGGGGCGTAGATGAGGTGCTTCTTCAGCCCTGGCATCCAGCTCCACTGTGTCGTCTTCCAGTAGACCTGCCTTTTCCCGTCCATCGACATGGCTGACACCAGTCGCAGCTTGGCCCATGCCAGCTCGATCAGCCTCAGGACCAGCATCACCAAGCCCAGGATGCCCAGGCTCCACCAAAGCATGTGTGTGAAGAGGAAGTTGTTGGGCTGGTTGACCCCATTTAAGCCAGTGTTGAAGGGTGCGATGCTGGGGTTTGGTGTTGGTGCTGTCCTTGCCTCGACTCGAATGAAGATTTTTGTTGTCGCTGACACCACATATCCAAGACCTGCCGCGTTGTCGCCTTGATGGGAGGCCATGTTGCGGAATTTGGAAGTTTTTGTTGTCTGCGAATCTCGAGATATACTGAGTGGATGATCCTTTTCGTCGTCCAGGAGGAAAAGTGGTCGCCCCGAGAGGGAGAGTCGCCTTTTAAAGGTGCCGCGGCCGGATTTCCTGACCCCGAATAATGGTATTGTTTCCAACGAGGCCGTGTTAGGAAAACACCACCATTGCCTTGTGGGGACAAAGGAGTCCGGCGCAGGACAATAGGGCTGTCCAGGTCGCGCAGGTCTCGTTGTGGTGTTTTGGGTGGGGGAACAAAGGCCAAATAGTCGGTGGGTTGGTCGTTTCGCCGCTGGCACGTTCCTGGGGGAAGGCCCGAGGGGATGGTCGTCGCGGATGGGAGGAAAGGGGATTCTTCCAGAGAATATTGCACCGTCCTAGGTCGCCTTTTTCTGTTCAAGGAAAGTTGTCGTCTGATGTAGGACGAAGGGACGAAAAGACCGGTCGCAGACGGGCGGACGAGATGGAATCGAAGCGAAGAAAGAGCGTCTTGCCGAAAGAGGGAGGCCCACGGAGAATGTCGTACGGTTCTTGGGATCGTAGTCGCCCGCAAATGCTGAAGCCAGAAAGAATGGCGTGGAAATCCCTTGGCCGTCGTTGCTGTTCGGGCGGAAGAGGCACGGGAGGGCGAGATGGCCGACGTCGAAGGGTGGCGCCGGCGGAGGGCGGCCCGTTTGTTTACTTGAAAAGAATGTCGAGTTCGCGCACCAGTCCAGGCTGGAATGTTGAGTGACGAGGGAGGACTCGAAGACACTGCAAAGTGCCACCGGAAAGAATAGGATCGGCGTTCAACGTCGATCAAGGTGACAACTTCAAGGTGAGTGGGCGGACAGAAGGAAGATTCTGGGGAAAGGGGACAATCGATGCAGGGCCGGCGTTGATGTACTGTGCAAGAGATGACGACCTGGCTGGAGGTAGAGAAAAGCCCAATGACAATGTCTCCCTCGGTGGAAAATCATCAAGAGAGCCACTTGGCTTCCCAGGCCGTACGACATGGCGGACATGGTGAACTAAGGCACCTACGTTTTTCTCGACTGACCGACATGGCCTTTCAGGTTCCCTCACTTGCCGTCACCCAACCGGATCACGGAGGAGCTGGCAGCTGCGTGGAAGCCCTGCTGGCCAGACCATGTGGTCCTATCATGGCCGGCAATGCAGGCCGCGGCCAGACCCGTACCTGTCGATTTCGTGGTTGGGTTGAGGCTGCTTGGGGGGGAGATGGGGAGATGGGATGTGCGGGTCTTGGCTTGGATGCGATGGTTGGATGTGGTGTTCTGAGGTCTGCCTCAAAGCCAAACGACGTCGTCGGGCCTCCAATCTCTGATTGGCCGGCTGTTTCACCCCAGGGGAAACCCCTCGAACGTCTGCACGGTGGCGTTTGTCCTTTTTGACCAAACACCACGCTCTGCAGGGAGCCAGCACCGACAATGCGAAAGCAAGGAGGTCGGCTGTTGGCAAGACGGCCATGATAGGTCAGGCTGCGATGAGCAAGCAAAAACATCATCCCATCGTGCCCCCAGCCCCTCGCCGATGGCTCCGAGGGTTCAGAACCTCACGAGCTCACCTTGCAAGACATGCCCGACGCCCACCTGGTACGATGCCTCACCGCTCCGAGGAGCCTCTCATGTACTACCCGGCAAGATCGCACATCTCGAAATTGAAACCCAGATGCCGCAAAGTAATGGAACCACGAGGTAGTGCAGGACCCAATGGACAACACTTGCATTGACTGCATCGGCGCAGCACCCGGGAGTAAACATTGGATGATGATCACTACGAACCGGAGACCCCGAGCGAGCTCCAACTTCCATGCACATCCATCGGGGCGGCCTCCACATGTCCGGAGCCGGAAGTGCCGGACCGGCACATGCACATGCACCGCCGGGTACCGGCAGCTGATTATCAAAACCACCGTCATGCCTGACTGGGAATCCCCTCTCAATGAAGAACGGATACCCTGCCCTTGGCCCCATATCATTCGTATGCAACTTTAGCTCAGTTGGGAGAGCGTCAGACTGAAGTCAAACTTCATCAAAGGAATCTTGTCCCAAGGTCCATCTGAAGGTCGCTTGTTCGATCCAGGCAAGTTGCAACACACAACCCGGTGTCATCACCGTGAAATGTTTCTTTTTTGGCACATATACATACTGTTCTTGCTTGCAGCAGGTGTGTACTTTTTGCCTTTCATGCCCGGTGAGAAAACCTTGGACACCGCTGGGAAGTCCTGATGGGTACAATTCACATTGCAAATCAGATCACAATGCCAAAAAACCCCATCCTCGCCCTCAGAGGGAAGGTACAGGGAGCAAAAATGAAGATTGACAACTGTGAGATTCGAACTCACGCCCTTTCGGACCACGGAACTTTTCAAGTTGGGATCAAGGTAATACCTTAACGTGGCGCCTTAGACCGCTCGGCCAAGTTGCCTGTCTATTGGATGTGGAGCTGAGCGGATAATGGGGTCTATCCAAGGTGAGACGAGCCGATGGGTCTGACAGATGGTAGGTATGGACCTAGGGGCGTCGGTGGGAGTTGCTGGCAGAGGCTGGCGTAGGGCCATATCCGGGACGACACCAAGTTGAAGTATCCTCTAGGTCGCCATGCCGATTTCGAAAGGACGTATTCGAGAGCCAGCAAGTCGGTGCTGGAGTGTGTTCTTCGACGAGGCAGGCAAGTACCGATCCAGAGAACCTTGAAGGGGGAATAGTTGTTTGAGAGGATATGTCAAAGTTCAGGGTTGGGCCCCTCTTCTTGAACAAGATGATGTGCTCAGAAATCAAGTATGGTTTTGTCCGTTGAGTGTCATTGTCAAAGAAGGATGGAGGTTCGAGGTCGAGGTCGTGGGAGTTGTCGTTGCCCAGAAACGCCCAAGACGATAGGTACCGGCACAGTGCCCACACAGTGCGAGCTATCACCCCTGCCCGGAATTTCCCAGGCTCGTCAGAAAGCGGGAATTGGTCGCCAGAAGCTGGGATTCGTGAACCTTGAAGCCGATCTGCTGAGCGCAACGACGACGACGACGACGACAAACACCACAGCCCAGAGGTCGAAGCCGCGCCCAGCAGCCCAGCCACCACCCAATTGACACGCCTCTGCCATGGGTTCGAGCTCATCCAAGCCCCAGGGCCGCCAGGAGTGGGCAAGGTGCGAATCCCACATTCACAGGCTCTTCCCGACATCCGCACCCAACTGACCGACGAACCTCTCCCTCCAGCTCCTGGACCTCTGTCACCCAAGACCTCGAACATGTCCTCCAGGCCGGCCCCGAAGTGAGCCCTACCCCTTGCCCCCCCCCCCCCCCCCCCCAGCGGTTCGCCCAAAAGCTAACCGAACCCCCCGCGCAGAGCGACACATCGCGCCAGTCCGCCGCCGAGCTCGCCATCCAAAAACGAGTAGCCGCCGAGCTCCAAAAGCTCCACGCCCAAGAGTCTGAGGCGCTCAAAAAGACGGTATCGGAAGTCCTCTCCCAGGTCCCCAAAGACGCGCCCAAGGAGCAACACACGTCGCACACCGTGTCCAAGGAGATCGAGGCCCTGCGCGCGAAGCTGCAGGAGCGCCGACAGGTGCGCGAGCTGCCCGACAGCGTCGAGGCGGCACGCAACGAGGTGGTGCGCTGCCTGCGCGAGAACGACAGGCGGCCGCTGGACTGCTACAAGGAGGTGGAGAACTTTAAGGAGCAGGTCAGGAGGGTAGAGCAGGGTTGGGTCGACAAGGTGATCAGCTAGGGGATCCGAGGGGGAGGGTTGGGGCTGGCGCTTCTGCGTGGGGCATGGGAAACGGTATGGCTGCCGTTACGACGTCGGTCTACGCAGCTTGATAATGGTCGTCCCGAGAGCGAGCGCTGTGTGTTGATTGTGTATCATACGGGCGGTGTTGCTGCCGGATCGCGGGGAAAATATAGACAAACGAGACATTGACATCACGACTGGCACGGGGGCTGTGGTTGGATTTCTACATGATATCCGGGGCCTGCAGAACCACGCCCAAGTCCAACTTGCTCCCCTCCTCGTGCTTGACCTGCTGCTGCCTCTTGAGCTCCCATCTTCTCCTCAACCCCTCTACACGCTTTCGCTCCCTGCGCGTCTCGGCATCCTCCCACCCCTCCAGCCCCTTGGGAGGCGCAAATGCCTGATCCAACGCCGCCTCCAGCCTCGCTATCCTCTTTGCATTCTCAGCAAACCGCTCGTTGGCGATCCTCACAATCACACACAGGTACTCGTCGCTCACAATGCACCTCCGTCCCGTCCCCTCCCTCTCCACCCCGACCAGCGACTCAAACGAGAGCCCCATCGACCGCACCGCAACCATGGGCATCGCCGCCTCCTCCTTCGCAAGCAGGCTGACGGCCCCCGTCTCGCGAAACCCCGCCGCCATCCCCGCCTGGATCACCAGCTGCGCATGCTCATGCGATGCCGTGAGGACGTGCAATATCTGTCACCATGTCAGCACCTCCCACCTTCCCGGGAAGCCAAACTCACCATCGGCTCAAACTTGAAGTGAATCAACCTCCCCTCCCCACCCCCCTCCACTTCAGCGCCATCACCCAGGCCAAACACCCCCCTCCAACCCCCCTCCCCATCCCCACGACCTGTCGGCAGCGGCAGCGGATCATGCGAAACAAACAGCCACTCCCCGCCGCCCTTTCCGCCCACCGCCGCCGTCCCTCTGACGCCGTCCCCCTCCTCCTCGTCCTGCCGCGCCCCTTCAGTAGTGGCGGCGGCGCTCTTCTTCCTCCCCTCGAGGTACACGCTCACGCGCCCGGCGCAGCTGCTCGTGGTGACGAGGCCGGCGCGGGCGTTGAGGGCGCCGAGGAGCGCGCGGATGCCCTCGTCGACCGAGCCCTTGGGCGAGGCGTCGGTGTAGTCGGCGTCCGGGACGGCGAGCTGGGAGAGGATGGTTGCCTTTTTGCGGGCGAAGGCCGGGCCCGGGGTGGGCAGCTGGGGGGGTGGGGGCGGCATGGCGGGGTGAGTGTGGTGTTGGGTTCTTGGTTGTTGGGGGTTTTGTATTGCCTTGTTTGGTGAGGCGAGTCTGGCCTGAACAGACGAGTTTTTTCTTCTTCGGTGGTTTTGATGAGACAGAGTTGTTCTTGCTGTTGTTCAATGTCTGTCGTCACTGGAAAAGTGAGGTGCGGGCTATCACGTGGACCCACTGTCTTAACCACCACGACCAACACCCGGGCACGAGAAAATTGGTGGTATCTTGTTTGAATGGGTGCTATTCTACATTTCAGCGACGCCGTGGATATTCCTGTCAGACATCTATCTACCGGCCCGGTTATTCTACCTAAGTACACCACATCTCTCTCACTCCCCTGCCCACCGCCTGCCCTCTCCAAATTGAAAACCAGCCACCTTTGAGAAGAGAAAAAGGGGTATAGATAATAAGAATCAAAACATTACGTGGGGTACATGTCAGTGTGAGGGTGGCTGCCGGTTTGACCCGGTATCATCAGCCCTCGCCTCTAGCCGTCGTCTAGTTATCAGTTCGCTCTCCGGCCCTCTCGGCGGGAAGCCCTACTGTCTCGCTAAAAAGAAGAATGAAAAGGAAAATATCGCCTGTCCAAGGCGGAGTACTATACACAACCGCCATGGAGGAAGGAAAAATGGGTGGCCCTGGGACCAGGGTGGTTGGGACAAGCGGCAACGGGCGTCACCCGTCTTCACTCCTTTGGCGCCTCCGTTTGGCTGGCCAAATTAGATCTCAGCGCCGCGGGACCCAGAAACGCCTGCTCTCCGTTCGGGTTGGAGTTGTGGACATGCTGCATCTCCATCCCCTCCTTGGAGTCAACCCTGGGATGGCCCTGGGCCCCGGCTGTGCTGCCCAAGCGCTGGTCTCCCTTGACGTAGCCACCCTTGAAGTCGCAGTAGGTTGGTGGTCGTGGACGGCACAGGACCACGTACCAGTTCTTGAACCAGCTTCCCTGGGTGAAGGCGCGGTATCTATCCGCCTTGACGAACTTGTGCGAGGTGAGGTACTCGCGTGTCGTCTCGCCTCGGGCCATGAGAAAAAGGTGATACCCCATCAGGGAGGCTGGGTAGAGAAACCCAAAGAAGCCATAAATGACCATGGCGAACGGAACTCGGAGATGATCGATGGCTTGGCGGAACGGCACCCCCTCGGCGTTGGAGTACACGAGAATATGGGTCAAGCTGGCGCCTACCAGGTAAAGCGACAGCAGGCTCGCGCTGCTGACAAAGGCGAAGAAATAGCGGTAGTTGCGTCGTCCAACACAGTTGTTAAGCCACACGCAGTGGTGGTCCTGCGTCTCGACGCAGTTGTCACACAGCCGGCAGTGGTGTGCTCGAGGGGGTCGCCAAAGGTTGCATGTTTTGCAGTACTTTGTAGGTACTTCCATCGCCGCGGTTGACTTTTCGTGGGACTTGACAAGCGTCCAGTCGTTCGTTGGAGGTCCCAGTCGCAATGGGTCCTCATTTTCGTCTGCTGGCGGAAACCGGTGAAGATTGCGTGGCAGAATCTAACGCAGCGTTAGTACTCATCCCTTTTTTCGCCTGACCTGCTCCCCGGAAGACAACATACCCCTGGATCTGTGACTGATGCATGGATAAAAGAAGACATGCAGATGTAGAAGACGTATGCGAACGTGATCGGTATAGCCGGCGAGATGTTGTGCCACAGCCATGGGGCGGAAAACGCAAAGAACAGGGCCGAAGGAATCACCACAAACGACCCTGTTGCGATGTTGACGGGGCGCTGTCTCGCGTTTTGGAGACGTCCACCAAGGCAAAATGCAGTGTTGCCTTGAAAGTATTGGTAGTTCCGTCCAAGTTTGGACTTGACCTTCTCCTTCTTGGATGCAGGCTTGGTTGGTTTGGTCTCTGGGGCGAGATGGGGCGAGGAAGAAACTGATTCCAACTTCTCGCCGCCCTCGATCTCGCGATTGGAACCGTTCTGCCCCGAGTCAGCCCGACCCGGAATGAGGAAACTGGACCGGAAGGATCGGGGTGTACGGACCGGAGGCGGTAGATTCCCTCCCTTGTAGCTCTTGTCCACATTGATAGTCAGATTCCTTGGCTCGCCCTGCTTCCGTTGCAATGGACGGACACTATCCGTTATGCTCGCAGAAGCGTTTCGGCCATGGGTCGGACTGGTATTCGCCGTGATTCGATCAAACGTCTCTTGGTCGGTCATTTCCGTACCTCGGGAGGGGGGTGGCCGAGGCTCCTCATCGTGGGCGAGATGTGCCCCTATTCGGGGAGCGCTGATATTCGAGACAATGCTCTGGCGGTTGTTTGTATTTTCGACCTCCTCCCGAAAATCGGCCTGCGTTGACGACACCTGCGGGCGGCTCATGGTCGGTGGCCGAGCGGCGCCGCGCTGGGCTTGGAGCTTCTGGGAGCTCATGGGGCGGAAGAAGGCGTGCGACGTGAGCGAGGGTACATGGCTCCTGCTCGTTGAGCTCACAGGTC